TTTATTTTTAGAGAGAGGGACAGGGAGGGACAAAGAGAGGGATAGAATCATCGATGTGTGAGAGATACATCAATTGGTTGCCTCTTCCACATCCCCAACTGGGAACCTGGCCCACAACCCAGGCATGTGCCCTGACTGGGAATAGAACGAGCAACCTTTTGGTTCTCATGCTGGCACTCAGTCCAAGGAGCCATACCACCCAGGGCATGAACACATATTTTTAAAAAAACAAAAAGCAAACATTTGTCTACACCGTACAAGAAACACAGAGCTATTGCCAAGACCACGCTTTACCTGAGTGCACTATCCTTGAATTCTGGGAGGTGGGGTGAAGTAGGAGCAGGGAAACCAAGGCTTTTTGTCCGTTGACTTACACTTTTGGAAGTGAAAGAGATCCATAGCAAATATTTTTCATATATTACCAAAAGGATAGGCAGAGAGAAAAGAAATGTAGAAGCACTTGGAAAGTACCTTATCTATAAATGGAAACTCAATGAATCTGCCAATAGAGCAAACTTGGGGCTTAACACTGAATTCTCTTTATTGCTTGCTTACTGCTAAATGGTGAATAGAAAACTTTTAAAAATAAAATGTGTTCTGATTTCAGTCTCTGAATTGAAAAGTTTTCCATGTTTTCTTCTTCTTTCAAGATTTGCTTTCATTTTGAAAGATCTAAGATACCTTCTAAATAGAAAAAAAATAGATGATTATGAGCCTTCACCCTCAAAGGAATGAAGGAAAGAAAGGAAGGAGGGAGAAAGGAAAGGAGGGAGGGAAGAAAGACCCCTGAGTGGAAGGAGTTTTTTTCTGTTCCTTTCATGTTTATTGATAAGAAGGCTCAACATCATAAAAATATAAATTATCTTCATTTGATCTATAAATTCAATGAAATTCCAAAGTCACAGGAGATTTTGTGTAGATACTTGATAATCTGATTCTGAAATGTCTATGACTGAGTAAAGTCCCAAGATTAGCAAAGCCATTACCAAAGAATAAGGCAGGAGGACTTGCTTTACCAGATTTTAAGTTATATATAAAACCACGACAATTAAAAGAGTGCAGGACAGAAAAATGGAACAAAACAAAGAGCCCAGAAAACAGACCCATGAATATATGGAAGTTTAATATCTGACACAGAGGGGGTTGTAGGTCACTAAAGAAATGAGAGACCATTGAATAAATGATGCTGGTATAATTGACTATTCATATGGAAAAATATAAAACTAGATACTTATCTCACCGCATACCCCAGATCAATTCTAGATTGATTAAAGCCATAACTATGAAAAAAATGAAAGTTTTAAAAGAAAATATAAAATATCTTTATGAACTAGGCATGAGGAAGGACTTACTAACATACAAAAAAGCTAAATATTATATGCCCACTAGGTTGGCAAAAATGAAGAAGTCTGAAAATAACAAGTGTTGGCAAGGATGTGGATCAAAGGGAATCAAACAGGCACTGTTTGCAGGAAGTATAAATTGGGATAATTGGAATCATTTTGGAAAAACAATTTAGCTTTATCCTATAAAGTGAATGTTTGTATATCTGTGTAGGACACAGCAATTCCACTCTTAGGTATTACTCTAGAACAGTGCTATGGTGCTTCTTTAACTTTAATGAGCAGCAGAATCACCTGCGCAGCCATGCAATCTGGAGGTCCCACCTCTGGGGATTCTGATGCAATAGGTCTGGGATAAAGTCTGTAAATTTGTGTTTCTATGAAGCATGTAAGCGATGAGGCTGCTGCTGGTTTCCAATCACAACTGGAGAAGTGCTTCTCCAGATTTCTTCTGTGTCTTAGGAAGTAGAAACAAGAATGTTGAAAGCCACATTGTTCATAATAGCAACAATCTGGACGCAACCCAAACAGCCATCAGCAAAAGAATGGATAAATAAATTGAAGTATGTTCACACAGTGAAGTACACAACACTGAAAATGAATGAACTGTATGTAGGTGTAACAACCTGGATGAATCCTAGAAGCATAATGTGAAGAGAAAAAAAAGACATAGAAAATTACATACAGCATGATGTCGCTTTTTAAAAGCTAATAAATTACATAATATATTGCTCAGGGTAAAGTTAAAATATGAACCAAAGGAATGAAAAGCACAAAAACAGGAAAGGGAAGAATCGTATAACTAGTCGCAACAGTGTGGGTATTACTGTAGCTTTTAAGGTGGATGATGGGTTCTCATATGCTTCAGAACTTTCATGTAAAAATCATATATTCTCCTGTAAATGGAAAATATACATAGTACACATAAAATGGGAAAAAATATTAAACGAGTGCTGATCAGGTAAACTGAGACAAAAAAAGATTACAAAGAAACTAATACTGTAATAAATGACAGAAAAGATCCTAGGGGAAATAGATATTCAGTGTGATGACAAATTTGAGGCCTCTTCTTGTAGAGAGAAAACAGAAGATTTTAAAAATGAGAAAAGAGATGATGCTCGTGCAGAATTGAGGATGGAGGTCTAACAGACTCCCGAAACAGAGACTGCAGCAAGCAGAAAGAAATAAGATTAAGGCTGTATCTAAAGAACATTCTCACAGGTTGAAGAAAGGCCTTACTTAGTCTTTCTTATCACAAGCACTCCCGAATACCAGCAAATTAATGCAGAAGCCCACATTGACACATTCCTGGTAAAAGTTCAAATATCAAGGATAAAACAAGACTCCTACAAGCATCGTGGCAGAACATAAAAGATAGAAAATAAACAGGCTAGCCAAACATAGAATAAAATTCATGCTAGCCTCGAACTTCTCTGGAACAACAAACACTATAAAAAGTTATTTCACGGTTTATTTGGAAAAGTAAATGGATATGACTAATTAAGAAAAGTTTGATAAGAAAAAATTATAATGAAATAGACTTAAATCTGTAGATATGAAAATGTAAATTTTAATCATTAAAATGATGTGAAACTGATAATGAAATGGAGAGTTCAGTGGAAGAGAATAGAAAATCTGGATGCAGAATTATATATAACATTTCTTATCAGTATGTCATGATACAAAATTCATAAAATACGTGATGTATTCCTATATCTACATATATTTAATTTGTATTATACACTATATCATAATATAATACATAGATAAATAAATATGTAAAGGTAATATATTAAACTATATCATATATAATTACTAATGTATAGAATTATTCCATTTATGATAGAATTATTCTATTTATAATACTATTTATATTTCTATATAGTTAGTATGTAATAAAGATGGACTTAAGGATAGATTATTCACTATATGATGGTACAACAACCAATAAATTATTCAGAAAATAATAAGGCTACTATCACACAACCAATATGTTGTTCAATCAACTAAAAAGTTAAATTTTTAAATGATATTATAATAAGAACTAGAAAAACATAAGTGAAGATTTGTCTGATTCTTGTGTGAGAAAAGACTTTCTAAGAATAAAAGAAATGGAAAGAAAAAGATTGACATCTTTTCCTGTAAAAGTTTTTTAAATTCTTCATATCAAAAAATTTTTAAAAAGGTAATAAAAGGAAAATTACAAACTTGGACAGAACATTTGCCCACATACATTCTAAAGGATTCTTACTAATCATATTAAAAGCTATGTTACAGAATGGTAAGTAAAAGGTAGACATCTCATTGGAAATATGGGTGACTATAATAAACACATTACACTCAACAACACAGAAACTGTAATCAAATGAGAGCAGATTAAACCAATGAGATTTTGTATCTGTAAGACTGACATTGATGAAATATTTGCCTTTTTAAATAATAGGAGACTATATTTAATAGTCATCCTAAGACCACTTGAAGTTAATTCAGGTAGATGATCCGGCAAGGTTTAGAGTCCACTACTCAGGACCAATTCAGATTTTTTCCTGGTGGCAAAGGGGCTTTGAGACTCTGTTCTGATTTATGCAACTCATCAGGCATTTTTAAGCAGCTGATGTTAAGATGGCTACACAAGAGAAGATAAAAAGATTATTAAGAGCTTCTGCCTGGAAAGATGATGGCTGAGAAGACATGGTTGACATCTTTAAGACCTCGAATGGCAGGCACCGAATAGTCTGTTCACTGAATAACAGGACTGAAGTGGTGGGAGAAGCCCGTAGGCAAATTAGGAAGCCCTGTGTTGCAAACACTGAGTCATTACCCCGCACCAGGGAGTAAACGCGTACACAATGCAAATGCAATTGTATGTTTGTATCAAATACAAACACAAAATATGGTAATAGCAAATATAATACAAATTAAGGTGTTGATGAACAGGCTTTTCAAAGTTCAAGTACATGTGTGGGTTACAAATTGAATATTTATCAGTTCCAAATAGACCCTGGAATAGTTTTTAAAATATCATGTTCTTTTTAGTTTATAATTATTCTTTTTATTTTAGAATTATTGGGGATGACCCAGAATTAGCACCATGGTTTGCAAACATTTTTCTGTTTTTGTTTCTGACCCTGGAATCAAGGCTTCTGGTCTCCTACCTGGAGAAACCTCAGCTCTCTCACACCACACTAGTTGTCTTCAGCGACGATATTTGGAGAATGACATTTTGGATTCTCATATTGGTGGCAATTCTAAAGATTGTAAATCTTCCCTTCTACAATTAAACAGAAGCCATAAACCAATATAAAAGTACACTCATAGGAAAGTAAAGTTGAAACTTTAAGGCCCCAACTAGTTGTTATGTCACATGAAACTTTTATTTCCAATGAAACTTTGATTCATGTGTGTGCATGTGGCTCTGAGTCACCTCCATTTACATTAACCCCTTAGGTCAGTTGAAAAGCCACTTCAGATAGTGCTGACTTTACTATCAACCCAGGGTGAGCGCTTCCTCTGGGTGACCACGCTTACAGGGTCAGTTGCATGGGTCAGGATGTACTCCTGCTCAGAAGGACTCTCTGGCCTGTGTGTTTGTCATGTGTACTCAGAACACCTGAATATGTGTCCTCCCCTGACTCTTTGCTTGTGTGTTCTCCTCAGGACTACTGGCTGTCTCTCCTGTACAAGCGCTTGATCGGCCCCAAGGTCTTGGCCGTGCACGTGGCTGGGCTCCAAAGGAAGCCGCGGCCAGGCCGAGTGATCCGGGACAAACTGAGAATTTATGCTCACTGCACAAACCACCACAAGTAAGTCTTTAGAGAGGTGTCACAGAAGGCTGCCTGAGGGGCTTCAGGCTTTGGGCCCTCTTAGAATTCCATGCCTTTTGGGACCCCTTTAAGACTTCTTGAACACTGCCTCTGGAATTACTCATTCTACTTGCTCTTTGTGGATTTCAAATGATCTCTGATAAATAACTTTTCCCCAAGTAAACCCCTTTCTCACACTTAGAGGATTTATTCATAAAACATTCATAAAAATACATGCTATTTGTTCATTTACTTCTTCATCCAACAAATTTTTATTAAGCCTTTTCTCTGTGCCAGTTGATGTAATGCCCGAGGCTTTTTTGTACGCCTCTGGCTAAACCAAGGCGAGGTATAAAATCTGTTCCTGTGATCCACCAGCAGAGCTTAAGGAAATAATTTGACATTTCTGACAGATGCTGGAAAGCTACATGCTAACACTTAGCCCCACACCAGTGTGTCCCAAACTGGTGTGAGAGAAGGTGTACCCAAAGGAGTCATGTCAGCTTTAGAGCCACTTTCAGTACTTCAATAATCTTTTCAGCTACTTTAAGGGTTAAAAAGTTAAACAAAATCCGTTTTAGGGGGCTGGACCTACAGCAACCCAGCATGGTGACCTACAGCTGTCCCCCTCTTTGTGATCTGGGGCACTAATTGTTGTTCAAGTTGTCTTTAAAACAAACAGGAAAAATAGTTATCAGTAAGTAAAGTTTGGCAGATAAAATATTTTAAAACATGAGAATCATAAAGTGAAACTTTAAAACTGAGCCTAAAGCAAAACCCCTCAGACCATAAATGTCTTTCTTACATCATTTCCTGTTTAAGGAACAGAGTAGGCAGCCCTGGAAAAGAGAATTCCTTCTCTTAATGCAAAGAAAGGGGGTGTGGGGGGGTTGGGGGCAGTGTCCCCAGCCAGGCCTTCATTCCAGCAGGCCTGTCAGGGGCCGATCACGGGCAATAGACAGCACAAAGGGCCCCGTGGTCAGGTTACAACAGGCGCTCCTTCCCCTTCCTTGATGAGAGAGGAGCCAAGCCAATTAATTTCTCATGATAAGGTTTTTCAAAGAATCACTCTGAGCAAAGGCAGCCAGGGGCCAGTTGTCTTGTCTTTAGATACAAGTACCTATTGTGGATGAGTGGAGTCTGGTTTGGGCAGAGGCCAGAGGTTTTCAACATCCCTTTTGCTCAGCAGGAAGCTCAGTCCAATACCTGACAGAGAGTGACTGCTTTACGGCCTTGGCCGGGAGTTATCTGATCACCACACAAGGAAACACTGTGCTCCTTGTCTCCACCCCGAAGTAACCACCCAAAAGGTGGACCCCAAGCTTCAAGAGAGAAAAATTATTCTTGGCACCTTTCGTCCCTTTTGGGAAGCACATCAGTTTGTGGCCTTCATACCATCTGTCTGAGGACTCGAGGGGGGAAATGTCAATAGCACAGGCTGAGCAGAACTTGAGTGTCTTCACAGAGGGCCCCTCACCTAGCCTCTTCCCAACGTTGATGCTGCCGTTCTTCCACATTCTCACTGAACTTGTCACTAATATTCTGAGTATACCATGAACTCAGTGTCTCATTTGTTTTTGTATTCTTGGTGTCTAATACAGTGACTGGCCTAAAGAAGTTCTCAGTAAATATTTGATGAATAAATGAGTGAATGCAGAAACAGGCATTAAGACATTATTTCTGATGTAGAGTTCTAGCTCCCTTCTGCTTTGATACCACAACATCAGCCAGAAGGAGAAGCTGTGGTAGAGTGGCTAAGAATTCGACACTCACTAGCACGAGGCCTCCAACAAGTCACTCAGATCATCCAGAGTCAATGTTCTTTCTATGTCACCAGCTCTCCTCTGCTCTCTGGGGGGCATCAGTCACTCCAGAACTTCTCTGGGGAAATGGTGCCACTGTGCTTCTCTCAGGGCCATTCTTCCTTCTCCCTATTAAAAGAAGAAGGAAGGGAGGAAGGAAGGAAAAACTTTACTAATCCATTCTACACATGACTCTAATGGTAGTAGTTGGGGTAAAGGCCTTTTTGTTCCTGTAGAAAAGAAAGCCCTCAGTGGATGTACTGCACGGGCTGAGATTGCAGGTCTCCTCCATGTCACTGGGTGTCAGGCACCCCAGACAGGTAGGCACAAGGAGAGAGGTGCCTCTGCTCCATCTCTCTGGGAAGCCACACACCCTGTCTGTATGCCCTCATCCTCCACAACAGTCCTGAGGAAACACTGCTGATTCACTTAATTTATTTGTGGCCAACAAGGCCCAGGTCACAAAATGTGCCAGAGTGGGCATGTTGGCGGCACACAATTCAGCCTTGACCAGTACTCTGAAAATATATTATATATCCTTGGTCAAATCAAGGATTGGGTGAAAAAGTATAAACTTACCTTAGAAGAACCCAGAGAAAGTGTCTATTAACACTGCTCCTGCACTCCAATGTGTATTGAACACTTGCTATATGCCAGCCACCTTGCCAGTAATTTGCACTTATGTTATACTGAATTCCACAGTTCTGTGGCATCACCCTTGTATATGCAATAACACCATTAATAATGCAAACCACTTTACAGTTGGACAGAACCCTTAGAGATCTTTTGGCCCTCGTGTCCTATACAACACAGCAGTGCCTTTTACACTCTCCCTGACGGTTAGGCAACCGCTACCTGAATACCTCTGTGTCTCTCATGGCAGTCTCTTGCATTGTGGGTCATTTCTGACCTTGGAGGGCATTGTCTTTTATGATAGACTTAAGAGCAAAAGTCAGATGCCCATACCAACACCAGCAGATGGTCTTCTGCTTCCTGTCCTAGAGTTAGCAAATTAGGACACTTGCAGCATGGGAGGTCTCACCTTTGGTCTTCTTGTTCAGAGAACAAATACGTTTTGACTGGGAAAAACCATTTTCTACACCATTTGCTGAGAATGTATGTTTCTGGGGAGGCACAGAGGTCCTTAGCCAAGTTCAGAACCAATTGGAACCTGGTGGATATTGAAGCAAAACTGATCCTTTTGGGGTTCAAGTTCATTTATTATTGGCAAAACATGACTTCCTGTTTTTCAGAAGAAGTTTTTTTAAAGGCTCATAAAAAAGGTTCCTGAGGCTTCTTGGACATCAAATGGCTCTTACAAAACAATATTTTGATGAGTTAAGTGTAAATGAATCAGAAACATGTGGATTAAATTTCCCTTAAAATACACAGGGGCTTTGAAATTAGGGGGAAAAAATGTTTGGCAAAACATGGCCTGACTTTTACCGAACCCAAAAACTTTGAATTAGATTTGGAGACAATGGACCAACCTAGTTTTCAAGCTCATTGACTTTCCCTGAGAATGACTGTGATTCCAAAGTATCACCCACCCTTCCTTCCCTTTCCTAGTCTCCCAGCTTCACTAGAGACAGCTTCTAGGATGGTGACTGTTTTTTATCTGGAAGTCAAGATGCACCTCCCCATATGACATTCCCCACCTCTTACGTCCAAGATATTCCAGTTCCAGCCTCCCTTTTCTGACTCACTTCCTCCTCCTCCCATAGCAACACAGAGAAGATGTTAGGCAGCAAAAGAACAGCCAGAAAGATGAAGTCCAGATACGTGCAGGATTCTCCGCTGGTGGTAAAAATGTCACCATGAGTGAGACATAGAGCAAGACAGATGTTCTACCAGACAAAAAGGGACATTCATTAAGAAAACCAAAAACCACCTGGACTAATTGCCTGCAGGCCACACCTTCAATCAGACCCCATTTTCCAAGGGAACAGATACCATTCCAAGATTAGTTTTCTGTGGGCAGAGAATATGCATTCTTCAGGAATCTGGATTCTCAACACCGTACTTTCAGGATGGTGCTGTACTGCCCAGCCAAAAATACGTCTTCACGGCAAGACCTCTGCTTCATGCCCTTGCCCATCAGCCGAGCAGGGAAGGCCTGGCAGAGGCAGATCCTACCCGACAGGAGGCTCTAGGAGTTCTATGAGAGCCTCTGAGCCTTGGTCTCTGGGCTGGTTTTCAGTACTGGTTTGTCTCCCTCAGGGGAACTATGTAAATGAAAATCAGGTCTTTGCCAGGCAGTTGAAAAGACAGCTCTCCCTGGAGCAATGCTGTGATTTCAGGTCTGCCTCCCACCTACCACTCCCCACCTCCCACCCTCTCCTCTCCAGTCTCTGAGGCCTCATTATGCCGTGGCTCTGCAGAAGAGAAACTCATAAATGCAAGCACCAACCTCTCTCCTCCTCCACTGCTGGCCTTTGAGAAGGTTGTTGGATGACTGTTAACAGAAGGGATTACTGTAGTTGGCAAAGTTGGTATCCATGCATGCCTACTTTCGTTCACACTCTGGAGCCCAGAGCAGCAGTAGTTCATGCTGTCTTCCTCAGTTTCATACACCAGTAAGTTAAGCTTAAGGCCTGCCAATGGAATATAGTTGGTGTCCTTCAGTGATGGTAAATGCTGACACAGACTAGCAGCATCTTTCTCCAGAGCTCTGGTGACACAAGTCTGCTCAAATAAGTCGGCATCTCTTCTGACCGAGTTCATTTGGCTCCAATAGCTAGTTCACATGTTTCAGGGGATTGAGAAGAAGGACCAGGGGAGAAGGGACCAGATGGAAAAGTCATCTAATAATTTATCAGAATATCATATAAGCACACAGAAAGCATTGAACACAGTAAGGTGCCCTCCTACACATGCAAGAAAAACCATGACACAGAGCCAGTGGGATACACTTCTCATGACCTTAGTGGGGTGGCTAGAGCCATCCCACTAAGGGTTCCCAAACCCAACTCTTCTGCCAAATATCCCAGAAAGATATTTTTTTATTATAGATTTCCAAGCCCTCATCACAAATGGGTTGAATAAAAAAATCCAGGCATTAGCCCTGGAAACTATATTACTAAAAACAAATAAACAACCCAAGCTATCACATTGACCTACCCTTGGTCACTCACCCCTTAATTATCACCTTTGGAAGAGATGAGTGACCCAGGGGCTGAGGGGGCTGTTACTGCAGGGAATGGTATTTTCCTCTGGGCAAAGTTGATGTAGAGTTTCTCTGAGCTCCCCCTTTGAAGGCTGGATCAGGTCATTTTTTCTGTTTCCTCTCATTAACCCATCCAGATGGGGCCTTAAGGGACCCCTTAGAAACAAAATCTTTTTTCCTACAAGAGAGAAGGAAATCATTATAGCTTTGTTGATACATACTGAAAGGCCATGTAGGCATATAGTTCTCCCAGGCTTCTGAACATCCTGTAGTAGTTTAAAAGGATTCCAAAATGTTAAACAGTTTTATAATCTCAGGGTAGGTAAAACAGCTAAAGCAGAAATCAAAGAGATCAATAAATTTGACTACATAAAGGTTTTAACTTTTACACATCAAATACAATGTAAGCGAACTGAATTTGGTTAAAGAAGACTGGGGGAAATTTTGTAACATACATGAAGGCAAAGGCTCACTATCTTTAGTAAATAAATAGTTTTATAAACCAACAGAAAATGGGCAAAAGGCATGGTCAGTTTACAAAAGAAGTGAAATGGCTAACTGCACTTTGGTATGAGTTTTTTAAAATTAGAAATTAATATAATATTGAAACCCCATTATCACCTCTCAGGTTGAGAAAGCTTAATATCCAGTGTTGTTAAGAGTATGAGGAAAAGTGTGATCTTGTACAGAGTCAATCAGAGCAAATCCGTACAGATTTTCTAGAGCGTTAATATCGATATTATCAAAATGTGTGTTATCAGTCAGGATTGGTGAAATTATGCTCTGATAACAAAAGGCCTTCAGATATCCATGGCTTTCAAGGAGAAAATGGATTTCTCATTCCCAACCCTTGTCTGTCATGGCTCAGCTGTACCTCTGCTTCACATTGTCTCCATCCAGGCTACTGGTCAGCAAGGTACCTCACCTTCTGATAAGAATGCTGCCAGTCTTCCAGCAGGGAGAAAAGGGACAAAACATGGGTCGGCTCTTAAAGCTTCTGGCCGGAGGTTTTATCATGCTCACCCACATTTCACTGGTTTCAGCAGAGCAGGGACATAAAATACTCCACAGGGAGGGGCACCACCAGGAACAAACCAGAAGTTTTGGTGAGGCATTGTACAATGTCATTCCCCTGACCTAATGTTTCCGACTTCAAAGACTTCATCCATCAGAAATAATCATGATGTGCAAAAAGTTTATGTACAGTCCAGTGCTTCATCACATAATTTATAATGGCAAACAATTGAAAACAACCTAAGTCCCCAAAAGTAAGGTGTTAGTTAAATAAATTATGTTACAGTTCTATGACAGAAGAATTTAGCATTCTTTTATAAGTACAATATATCATATAATAACATGGGAACATGTTTAAGATGTTCATGAACTGAAAACACTGTGTAAACAACTTGATCCCAATTATGTAAAAACTGGGAAATACGTCACATACTCAGTAAACACTTGTCAAATTGGTAAACTAAAAAAACTGGAAGGATGTTTATGGAAATGTTGTTGTATCTCGACATGTTGAATTCTGGGAATTTTCTTTTTGTGTTTATCTATATTTATTTATTTATTTAGGTAGTCAACATGTTTTATTTCCATACTTAAAGAAAGATATTTTATTCTCTCAAACCATTACAATACACTTAACCAAAAACAAAAGGAGGATGTTGAGAAGCGACCATCTTCTTTGCAGGAAATCACCACAACAAGGCCTTTCTGTTTTTGAAGGTGGCCAAGAACCATAAAATAAGTACCCTATGCTGGTGGAGTCCTGCTTCCTGTGGTCTGTAAATTATTTAGATGCATTTAACTGACCAACTTTGTTTCCATCTTTTCCTTCTCTCTCTCTCTCTCTGAATCTCAGCCACAACTATGTTCGGGGGTCCATCACACTTTTTATCATCAACCTGCACAGATCAAGAAAGAAAATCAAACTGGCTGGGACTCTCAGGGACAAGCTTGTGCACCAGTACCTGCTGCAGCCCTACGGACAGGAGGGCCTGAAGTCCAGGTAAGTGCTGGCCTGGACATCGCTCAGGTGCAAGGGCAGCAGAAGCTGGGTGGGGAGGGGGCAAGAGTCACACCTTTGCTGAAGTCATCAATGGCACTGTTAATTAACTCAGGGGCTCAGCGGGATGGAGTCAGGGGACTACTGACTCCCTTTGGGAGTCAGTCATTTCCCTGTCTCTAGGCTTGGATCTCTCAACTGTAATGAAACAGTGGATGAAATATTTCTCAACAAGGTCACTCTTGGTATCTGGGCAAGACAATTCTTCATGATGCAGGATGATCAAACTATTTAGCACCCTTGGCCCCTGCCCATTAAATGCCCATAGCACCCCCTAGTCATGTGACAAGCTAAAACACTGGTAGCTGAGAACCACATCCCTTTCAGCCATAACATTTTGTAATGCTGTGACTCTGTCATCATTTATAAACGCGGGGCTTCAAGGAAGGAGAACGGAACAAAGGATCAGAAATGCAGACCTCAAAGTCAGCTCTGCCCCTAACCTAGTAACTTTGAGCACATCACCTGTCTAGATCTCAATTTTTTTCTCTGAACAACAATAAAGAAATTATATTCTGGAGGCTTTGTGGTCCCTTCAAACTCTATAAATACATTATTCTGCAATACTCCTTACTTTCTCAGTTTTTACTAGAGACTGTTGACAACACTGACTTCTATCAGCAGAGAGCAGCTCTCTGCCCCAGTGACAAGGGCCTGGTCAAGGGCAAAGCCACCTCAGTTCCCCAAGTGAGGCCTCCCAGGAAGGGTATGGGAGGTTGTGCGGACTGGGAGCATTCCCACTCCATTTTTAATGTTTACCAAGTTTAACAAAGCTGTAAACTTGGAGCAGGTGGCTTGCACTCCCACAGCTGCCCACAACTATTTGTGCTTTAATTATTCGCTGTTGTACTGCAACCTTGGTGGCTTGCATTTGGCTTCCAACTGTATATGCAATGGGAACAAAACACAATCTGGGAAGTCACTTATGGAGTTTTTTAGCCCACCCTAGAATTGTACTTTCAGTCTTGGTTCACCTTCTGGCTCTGTTTTCTGGCTACATGTACACTGCTTATACTTTTCTTTCCTCTCAATCCTACCTGTATCAGCAGAACTCTTGAGTGTTTTATCCCCTCTCCCTCAACTCCCAAGTAGCTCACGACTGGTATGCTGAATCCCTGGGCTTCATCTGAGGCAGGAGGCTTGGTTCTGGTTTCCTAAAGAATCTGTGACCTGGGCAAATCCTTTAATCCTAATCCTAGGACTCAATTTCCTAATCTGCAAAATTCAAGGATTACTATATTTTCACTAAGATCCCTTCCAGCTCTAAAATTCTCATCGTTGGTCTAATTTTCTGAGGACCATGAGTTTAAGTCTCTGACTGCTATTTTTGTGTGTGTGTTACTAGTCCTTTATTTTTTAAACTACATTTTATTGATTATGCAATTACAGGTGTCCTAATTTTTCCTCCTTTGCCCCACCCCCCCACCACCCAGCATCCCCCACTCCCTCAGGCAATCCCCACACGATGCCCATGGGTCATGCATATAAGTTCTTTGGCAGTAGCCAAAATGGCAGTAGCCATTTCCTATGCTGAACTTTACATCCCCATGGCTATTCTGTAACTACCTATTTGTATTTAATCCCATCACCTCTTTGCCCATTCACCTACACGACCCCTGTCATCTGGCAACCGTCAAATCCATCTCCATGTCCATGATTCTGTCTCTGTTCTTATTTGCTTAGCTTGTTTTTTAGGTTCAACTGCAGAAAGATATATATTTATTTCCATTTTATTGTTCATAGTTTTGATCTTCTCCTTTTTCTTAAATAAGTTCCTTTAACATTTCATATAATAATGGTTTGGTGATGATGAACTCCTTTAATTTTTCTTTGTCTAGGGAGCTCTTTATCTGCCCTTCAATCTAAATGATAGCTTTTCTGGGTACTGCAACCTTGGATGTAAGTCCCTACTTTTCATGACTTTGACTATTTCTTGCCAGTCCCTTCTTGCCTGCAAACTTTCTTTTGAGAAATCAGCTGACAGTCTCATGGGAACTCTCTAGTAAGTAACTAACTTCTTTTCTCTTGCTGCTTTTAAGATTCTCTCTTTATATTTAACCTTTGGCATTTTAATTATGATGTGTCTTGGTATGGACCTGTTTGCTTCCATCTGTTTTGGGACTCTCTGCGCTTCCTGGACTTGCATATCTACTTCCTTCATCAAATTAGGGAAGGTTTCTTTCATTATGTTTTCAAATAAGTTTTCAATTTCTTGCTCCTTCTCTTCTCCTTCTGGTACCCCTATGATGTGAATGTTTGACCTCTTACAGTTTTCCCAGAGGCTGCTTACATTATCCTCATTTCTTTTTATTCTTTTTTTGTCTTGTTCTGACTGGTTGTTTTTTTCTTCCTTATGTTCCAAATCATCGATTTGATTCCCAGCTTCATTCACTCTACTGTTGTTTCCCTATAAATTGTTCTTTATTTCAATTAGTGTATCCTTTGTTTCTGACTAAATCTTTTTTAATGCTGCTGGGGTCCTCACTAAGTTCCTTGAGCATCCTTATAACCAGTGTTTTGAACTCTGCCTCTGATAGATTGCTTATCTTCATTTTGTTTAGCTCTTTCTCTGGAGTTCTGATCTGTTCTCATTTGGGCCATATTTCTTTGTCGGCTTATTTTGGCAGCCTCCCTGTGTTTGTTTCTATGTTTTAGGTAGAGCTGCTAAGACTCCCTGCTTGGTAGTGTGGCCTAATGTAGTAAGTACTATAGGATCCCGTGGCACAGCCTCCCTGATCACTTAAGCTGGGTACTCAAGGTGTGCTCTTCATTTGGGTTAGCTGAGCCTTGATTGCTGTTGGCAGGTCAGTGGAGGGATTTACCCAGGCCAGTCAGCTGCAAGGACTGGCTGTGACCACTGACTATCAACCTCCACCCCCATGGAAGATCTGCTGTGCAGGGGCAGGGTGGTGGTGCTCCAGTGTGGTCTGTAACTATCCACTGGGTGAGCAGGCCCTGAGGTTTCCCAAGTGTTACAGGCCAAGGTCAGCCCCTACCTGTGTTTTGCCTGGGGCACCCTGCCTGAAGTATAGAGCAATCTGAGAGGGCTGCTACTTGTGCTGGAGTTGGAGAGTCCCAGGCAAAGCCAAACTGTGAATCTAGTCTGGATGCTGCTAGTGCTGGGCCTGGGGGTCACTGAGGCCAGCTGTTGTTTGTTTGATAGGATTTGGGAAGCTGTGAAGCATGAGCCAAGACCAGCCATTCATATGGAAAAGTCACTGTTAACAGCTGAAAGTTCGATGGGATGGAGCCTCAGGAGATCTCCAGGGTGGGGAAAACAGTGTTAACCAGGTTGATGGAGTCTCAGATATGGCACTCACCTACCAGGTCTGTGGCTCTTTCAGAGGAGGGTTCAGAAAAGGGACAATGGTCTCTGCCTGCCTTTCTGTCTGGGAGAAAGCTGTCCCCTAGCCCTCACCTTGATGCCAGACACTTCAGTTCCTCCCTGTATGCCTTTCAAGCTGCTCCTCTGGTGCTAGAGCTTAGAGGGAGTGAGCCTGGGTAAGTCTATGTGTGGGTTCTTTAAGGGAATTACTTGGGACTCCAGTAGTTTCTTCCACCGACTCAATCTCAGCTTGTTTTTGCAGCCAGAAGACATGGGGACTTATCTTCCTGGCACTGGAGCCCTGGGCTAAGGGGGCCTGGTGTGGGGCTAGAACTCCTCACTCCCAAGATATCCCTCACAAATTTTCATCTACCACATGTGGATGTGGGACCAGCCTGTTCTGCATCTCTGCCCCTCCTACCACTCTGGATGGATGTGGTTTCTTTAATTCCATAGTTGTCAGGCTTCCATTCAGCTCAATTTCTGATGGTTCTGAGTATGGTTGTTCTATAATTTAGTTGTAATTTTGATGCAGTTGTGCAAGGAGCCATGTTTACCTATGCCACCATCTTGACTGGAAGTCTTCTCCCACTGCCATTAATATTGACCTAAAAGTCATGTCTGACAGAGGGGATGACTCTTTAGCAGTGACTGTGACAGCTCTGGGTCTTCTGTAATGAAAGAGATTAGGAGCTGGGCCTGCCCAGAATCAGGAAGACCATGTGTACCACATGGAAGGAACTCACAAAATACTTAGTCATTCCATAGAGGTCTTGAAGAGAGATTTGATAATACCTACTAAGATCAAATAACAATGTCACACAATTGGAAGCAGAGGGAGCTGGAATCAGAAGGCCTGGATATGAATCCAGTTGCTACCATTTGCGTGTGTGACCAAACCTCAGCTCCCTGGTCTGTCAGATGGGGTTATTGTGAGAATCAAATTAGAACACACGAGTGAAATGAAACCTCCTACAAATGAAAATCTTACACACCCATGCACACACATACATATGTAAGTATAAAGACAGGCAACACATATGATTTTGCATACATTATACTTAAGAGAGTTTTGGATTGGAAGTCAACAGAGATTCCAGCTGGAACCCTGCATCTACTCCACTATGGAATTTTGAGCCCTTTGCTCACTTCTCTAAACTTGTTTCTCTCCTATAAACTACTGCTAATTTAACACCTCTCCCACTGTAGACCTTGGTGGCTCTGGCCTTGAACTGTGGCTTTTTGGACTATAAGCTGCCAGATAGGGACTTCCACGTACATGTTCAGTGCCCCATCCAGCACTCTGCAAAGTAACTACTAACAGCAAGAGCCCTCAGCAGTGCTGGGCTGGGGGTCTCACAGGAAGGGCATGGTTTCGATGCAGCAGACTCTGCAGGAAAGGATGAAAGGAAATGCTAGGAAGTGATTTCAGCCTTTGGTGTCTCCTCCTCTCTTTTATAAGCCTCTGGGGCCAGATTCTGTGTTCTGTGTCTGCTAATTCCTAGCTGCAGCCTGAAGCCATGTTAGCTCAGAAGCAGATGGAAAGCTCTGGAAACAGGAGAACCTATAATTGCTCCTGTCTGGAGGAACCTGGAAGAGGATATAGAGCAAGTCAGTG